AGCATGTCCGGGGGCAGGAAGGACTGGTCGGCGCTGTCCAGGTGAGCCGGACCCCGGGGGGGCTGTCCCGGGAGCCTGCCGCTCCTCCGGGAGCCAGAACTGGGGGACCCTCGGGTCAGGGTGGTGTGGCTGCTCCCGGCGCTTCCTTTCCTCCCCGTGGGGGTGGAGGCCACGCACAGGGCGCGTGGGGAGCGCTGGTGCCCGGCCTGGGGAGCCCCCAACGCCCCCAGGCCAGCTCTGGGGGATTGGGAGGTGGTCAGGGGTGGCTGGGCCTCATTTCCCGAGTCCCCCTCGCTGCGGGTTTTGGCAGAGTTGTAGGGCGGCCCCCCGGAAGCTGGCCCCCAGAGCCCCAGATTCTGAGATTGGCATTCTGGGTGCTGTTTGGGCTGGGTGACCTCAGGATAGACGGTGTCCCCCTCTGCGCTCGTTTTTATCTGTGAGCGGGGCCCTCAGGGGGTCAGGGGACTGGGCGTCCTATCCTTGCCTGCGGGACGTCCTGTCAGGGTCAGGGAAGGGGGCTCGTCTCAGAGGCCGCACCCCGAAGTGCTCCCGCGAGCACCTTCACCCCGTATCCCTGCTGCCCTGCCGCACACATCTTGCCCCTGAGGAAACTGAGGTCCATGTAACTCGGACCCAGACCCTCAGGCATTACCCAGGTAGGAGCTGGCCTCTTGGCCCCGCCCAGGTGGGCGCTGGGGTATTGCAGGTGCCGCCCCCCCAGGCCTTCCCCGTTAAGGCGGCCTTGGGGTCTCCCCGCCTCCGCCTCCCGTGGTGGTCTGAGTTCAGAGCTTCTCCCCGGCCTCAGCCTCAGCCTCAGCCACCCCCCGGCCCACTCGTCTCCTGAGGCGGGGGGCCCACCTCCCACTGCTCTGCAGCACAGCCCCGTGGTGACCCATGTAGAGGGACCCATGGGGTGTCAGGGGGGAAGCTAAGCCCCGAGAGTGGAGGCAGCTCAGAGCTCTGGGAGAGGAACCCAGGCTGCCGAGAGGTTAGACACACCCCAGGGAAGGTATGTGCTTCGGGTGGGGCTGGCAGCCGAGGCCTTGGACTCTGCTTGTGGGTCAGTGTGCCTGGCTGGCTGTGGGTGTGTCTTCTCTCTCACAGTGGGCATATTTGTGCCTGCGGATGTGCTCACACGTGTGTGTAGGCGTGTTTGTGGCCTGTGGAGTGAGCAAGCGCCTGAGTGGGCGGTAGGGTCCCGTGTGTCCGAGCAGGTTCCGTCTGAGTGTTGACTGCGGACCTCACTACAGTCAAACTAGACGCTGCCTCCCCAGGAGCCAGCTGCCGGGATGTATGTGACTTTGTCTGACGCCTGCCTGGGTATGTGCGTGTGGTGGGTGCTGCGGCTTTTCAGATGGGCACAGGGTCTGGTCTGAGCTTATCCACTCCTCAGAGGGACACAGGCGCGTTTGGCACAGGGGCGGAGTCCAGTTCTCACAGGTGCCCAGGTGGCCCTGTCGAGGCAGTCCTGCAACAGGAGCCCCTCTGCCCTCCCTGCCTCCCCAGCCCTGGCCAAGCCCCGAGGGCAGACACACTGCTGCCAGCTGTTACCCTGATGTACCAGGGCACAGGGCCGCTCCCGCTCCGCTCCCAGGTGAACAGGCCCCAGCACAGGAGGGAGAGGGCCGTGAGTCACATCACCCAGCAGGCTGGGAGGACTGCAAGGAAGGTGTGACGAGTGGGGCCCTGCAGGGAGCTGAGGGCCAGCTTGCAGCCCACCCTTGGCATGAAGTGGAAACTCAGATGCTGTGGCCTTGGCTCGGGGGCAGTGGTGAGCCACTGGCTGGATGCCCTGTCAGCAGCCTTGTCCTTTCCTCCCTGGGCTGACCCGGTCGTGGGCGAGGCTGGGCTGGGCCTGTCTGCTGGGGGTGGAGGTGGATCTGAGAACTCCTGCCCCGAGCAGCTCATGGTTAATCATTTTCCTGCCTGGGCCTTGAGCAGCCCTCCCACCTTCCAGGGCTGCCCTCGGTCTCCTCCAACACCTCTCCCTAGACCATCAGACTTTGGTGACTGCCTAGGGTGACCCTAGTTGTGTGCAACCCTTGGGGGCTGAACACTGGCCCAAGGTCACACAGCCAGTGTACAGGGCCTCCCAGCCCAGGCCCCTTTGTCTTTTTTCTCCAAGGTTGGCAGGTCCTACTTCCTGAGCCTCTGGGGCAGCCTGCGCTGGGGCAGTGTTCACACCTGCCCCTCCTCTAGCCAGAGCAGCTAGGGGTCACAGCCCTACAGGGAGGCAAAGAGGGTGCATGTCCCCAAATGCAGGTGGAAGCAGAGGAGAGGGTTGTCAACAGGGAGGGAGTGGCCTTCAGCTGGTGAGGGTGGCTGGGACTCCCTGGATGGTGGCACCCACGGGTAACCCCCCTCCCCAGCCTGGCTCTGGACTTGAGAGGTCAGTGTGTTGGTCACTGGGTTTCCCCAAACCTGCTCTCCTGGCTGCACCGCAAGCTCAGCCTGCCCTGGGCAGGGAATCCCTCTTGGTCAGCGGCCGACCCAGGCTCCTAGTCCTAAGAGGACCTCATTTGCGTGTAGCGAGCGAGCGAGTGAATGAATGAACGATGCGTGTGCAGCTGTGCAGAGCTGTGAGGTCGTGTGAAGGTCAGGGAAATTCCCACATCCTGTGGTCAAGGCCACATGGCCTAGCCTGGAGCCCTCCACCTCCCCTGCGTGGAGCAGAGATGCGCCTGAAGCAGGAGGAGGGAGGTGGCCCCCAGGCTACCCTGGGCCCCTCTCTCCGCCCTGAGCCTTCCTGACAACCTACAGTACCTGTCTCTCCCTCCGCGGAGCAGTTCCGTGCTTTGGTTGGGGAGTCACGGGTGGACACGCTTCCCTTTCTCACCGGACGGCTGGGGCGTCTGGGGTGGGCGCCCGCATACAGAATTATCACTGAGACTCTCAGGTTGTCTTTCGTATGGTCTGCCACACACATGTGGGCGCAGCGCCCGTAGCCACCCGCAGAGGGCGCCACCTAGGAGCCGCAGCCTCCCAGGTCTGCCTGTGGGTGGCCAGGGCGTGGGGCCCCTGGGCCCCCCTGACCTCCCGCCCCTCCCGCAGCCTGGCCCAGCAGTGGAGCCTGGAAGACCAAGAGGAGCAGCAACGGGAGCGCCGGCGACGCCACCGGAACCTCAGCTCCACTTCCGAGGACGGGTCGCCCGGGCTCGCCCAGAATGGAGGGCGGCTGGCCTCCCACAGGTGAGGGTGGGGGCCGGGGCCGGGTGTCACAGCCTCTCCTGGCTGACCACTCAGTGCAGCCTGAGGCCTGCAGGGGGGGGACACACACACGTGTCTCAGGGAGTGAAAAGGAGCATTAGGTTCCCCCCCCCAGCGCCCCGGACCCTGCCTGGCTCCCCTCACCTCACAGCTCTAATGGGTTCAATCTCTTCATGCCATTCGTGAGCCGGTGCTTTGCTGGGCATTTGATGGGTCTCACTCAGTCCTCACAGTGTCCCCCAGAGAGGTACCATGAGCCCATTTACAGGTAGAGAAACTGAGTCAGGGCGTACACAAGTGATGTGCTGAGGTAATACGCCTGGAGCGGCGGGGCCAGAATTTCTGTCCAATCTGTCAGGCCCTGTGGCTCCACTTTCCCCATTAAACCAGGCTGCACCCTCAAACTCGGACCCTCTGTAATTCCCTCCTAAGGGGAGGGATGAAAGGGCTGGTGTAGCCGCCTAGCCTTGGGGTTCGAGGGCCAGGGAGAGAAGGGCCCAGGATTTTCCAGATGTCTCCTGTGTGCCGGGACTGTGCAGGGCTCACCCGTGGGACGAGTCTCATCTTCCCTCCTAATAAGCCCACTTTGCAGATCTGGAAACTAAGGCCCAGACAGTGAGCTGACTTCTCCCGAGTCACACGGGGAACAGGGATCTGAGGGAAGGGTGAACCCCCTCCTGCAGGAGGCCAGGCACTGGGGGTTCAGTCGGTCCCGTCACGTTCCCTGGCTCCCATGGGTCTCCCAGAGGAGGGAGTGCATTGTGTGCGTCCAGGTGACAGACGGGAGGGTGGATCCTGCATCAGGGCCTGGGGTCTGGCTCCGCTGCTGAATGGCTGTGTGGCCCTTGACAAATCCCTGAATATCTCTGGTCTTGATCTCAGCTCTAAGGTGGGGGCCGAATTCTTCCTTTTGACTCCCATGCTCAGTACAGGGCTTAGCATATATAAAGTAGTTGTCCAACCCATGTTTATCGATCAGGCCTGACCCTGGATGGTTGGGCCTTACAGGGTTTTATAAACTGTTGAAATGATATCTCAGACGCCCTCTGCGTAAAGCAGACGAAAGCGGTCCTTATTTAAGTGATGGTGATGGTGGGCCCCTCCCTAGCGACCCTGGTGGCATCCCTACTGGGTCCGACACCCCGGGTCTCTCCCACCCTACACGTCCTCTGACCCTCCCTCCCATCTTCTGGCTCAGACTGCCGAGTGTGGAAGAAGCAGAGGCCCCCAAGCCGCCGCCCGCCGCAGCCTCCGGAGAGGAGAGCGAGGATGTGCAGGCCATCCTCAGGACCAGGAGGGAACGCAGGCAGCGGCGACAGGCCGTGGAGGTCGCGCAGGCCCCCATCCGGGAGCGGCTGGAGGCGGAGGAGGGACGGGACCGCTCGGGCCCTGGGCCGGCGGAGCAGCAGCCCCTCTCACCCAAGCAGGAGGTGGGGGCGCCGCCTCGCCGCAGACTGAGCCAGGAGCAGCGTGGGCCCTGGGCCCGGGAGGAGGAGAGCTCGGCGGGCAGACAGAAGGGGGTCCCGGAGAAGTCCCCCGTCTCGGAGAAGTCCTCCGTTCCGGAGAAGACGTCAGCGCTGGAGAAGAGGCTGAACTCAGAGGGCACCTCCATCTCCGAGAGAACATCGGTGTTGGAGAAGATGGAAGAGAAAAAAACAGTCCTAGGAAAAACAGGTGTCTCGGAGAAGCCTCCGGCCCCAGGGAGGACGTCAGGTTCGGAAAGGAGACTGGTGTCTGAGAAGGCATTGATCTTTGAGAGGTCGCAGGTCTCAGAGACAAAGCTGGTCCCAAAGAGGGCTGCAGCCTCAGAGCAGCCCCAGGCCCGGGAGAAGCCTCAGGCCCAGGAGAAGCCCCAGGCCCAGGAGAAGCCCCAGGCCCGGGAGCAGACTCAGGCCCAGGAGAAGCCTCAGGCCCACAAGAAGCCTCAGGCCCGGGACAAGCCCCAGGCCCGGGAGCAGACTCAGGCCCAGGAGAAGCCTCAGGCCCACGAGAAGCCTCAGGCCCGGGACAAGCCCCAGGCCCGGGAGCAGACTCAGGCCCAGGAGAAGCCTCAGGCCCACGAGAAGCCTCAGGCCCGGGACAAGCCCCAGGCCCGGGAGCAGACTCAGGCCCAGGAGAAGCCTCAGGCCCACGAGAAGCCTCAGGCCCGGGACAAGCCCCAGGCCCGGGAGCAGACTCAGGCCCAGGAGAAGCCTCAGGCCCACGAGAAGCCTCAGGCCCGGGACAAGCCCCAGGCCCGGGAGCAGACTCAGGCCCAGGAGAAGCCTCAGGCCCACGAGAAGCCTCAGGCCCGGGACAAGCCCCAGGCCCGGGAGCAGACTCAGGCCCAGGAGAAGCCTCAGGCCCACGAGAAGCCTCAGGCCCGGGACAAGCCCCAGGCCCGGGAGCAGACTCAGGCCCAGGAGAAGCCTCAGGCCCACGAGAAGCCTCAGGCCCGGGACAAGCCCCAGGCCCGGGAGCAGACTCAGGCCCAGGAGAAGCCTCAGGCCCACGAGAAGCCTCAGGCCCGGGACAAGCCCCAGGCCCGGGAGCAGACTCAGGCCCAGGAGAAGCCTCAGGCCCACGAGAAGCCTCAGGCCCGGGACAAGCCCCAGGCCCGGGAGCAGACTCAGGCCCAGGAGAAGCCTCAGGCCCACGAGAAGCCTCAGGCCCGGGACAAGCCCCAGGCCCGGGAGCAGACTCAGGCCCAGGAGAAGCCTCAGGCCCACGAGAAGCCTCAGGCCCGGGACAAGCCCCAGGCCCGGGAGCAGACTCAGGCCCAGGAGAAGCCTCAGGCCCACGAGAAGCCTCAGGCCCGGGACAAGCCCCAGGCCCGGGAGCAGACTCAGGCCCAGGAGAAGCCTCAGGCCCACGAGAAGCCTCAGGCCCGGGACAAGCCCCAGGCCCGGGAGCAGACTCAGGCCCAGGAGAAGCCTCAGGCCCACGAGAAGCCTCAGGCCCGGGACAAGCCCCAGGCCCGGGAGCAGACTCAGGCCCAGGAGAAGCCTCAGGCCCACGAGAAGCCTCAGGCCCGGGACAAGCCTCAGCCTCAGGCCCAGGAGAAGCCTCAGGAGCAGCCCCACACCCGGGAGAAGCCCCAGGCCCACGAGAAGCCTCAGGCCCCAGAGCACCCCCAGGGCCAGGAGCAGCCAGGGGCTGGGAGAATCCAGAGAGCAAGGGCCCTCCTTGGGAAGAACCGTACGTCCTCAGCAGAGCCAGCAGCATGCAGCCCTCCAACTGCGACTTCCCGCCTCCCCCCCATCACACTCCAGGTTGGCAGTGCCCCCTCCCTCCCAGTCCCGCCCAGGTGCCTGTGGCTCCCTTGCTGTCTCCTGTCTCCCACCTTCAGGCTGACTTCGGCCGTGTGCGTGCCCCACCCCCGGCTGCTCCCAGTCACTGTCAGAACAGGGGACAGGAGGCAGGGGCGGCTGCTGGGCTGCAAGAGGCATCAGCTGCGTAATGGGGAGCAAATCCTCATTCAGGGCCTGGATTCGGGGTCCTTCCAGCAGTTCCCCTGGCAGCCTGGGATGGGCCGGGCCACCTGCGGTCCCCATGGCAACTTGGGTTCGGGGCTCCCCAGACCTCCTGTGTGACACGCCCCCACCCATCCAGGTGAAGATTCCCAGCAAGGAGGAGGAAGACACCTTCTCGCCCACCCAGACCACCTACAGCAGCTCCCTCCGCCGCTCCAGCCCCAGGACCATCTCCTTCCGGGTGAGAGCCCAGGGTACCTCTGTCCTGTCCACGGGAGGGCCAGCCCAGGGAACCAACATCCGTCACAGCACAGAGGCCTTGGGTCAGACCCCAGGAAGACTGACTGCACGGGAGTTGGGGGTGGGGGGACTTTGGATTCCCCTGGGGGCCAAAGCGGAGGAGACTGAGTTACCTGAGGAGGGCAGGTTAGTTACTGACTTGGAAGATGCTTATGGACACATAAGAGCAGCCCCACCTGGTGGTGGGAGCCGGAGCTGCAGGGAGCCTGGAGGCCCCCACAGGGCTCACCGGCCTGCAGTTGGGGGGCAGACAGAACCGCAGGTACCCCCAAAACACCTGCAGGGACCCAAGGAGAGGCTTTTGACCCAGACTGGTGGGGGGACAGGTATCTCCCAGACAAGAGGGGGGCCTTTCATGGAGGTTAGGTTGGGAGTTGAGCAGCGGAGGGGTGGGAGGTGTTCTGATAGCGGAGCCCCTCCTTGAGGGGGCTCCGCCGCCCTGGGACCCCCTGCCACACACTCATCACTGCCTTTCTCTCTCCTTTCAGATGAGCCCCAGGATAAACAACTCGGAAACAACCCTAACCCGCAGGTCAGGGGCGGAGGCTCTGCTCTCCTGTCTGGTCATGTTCGGCCTGTGTTTGCTGAGCCGGGCTGTTCCATAGCACACGAGGGGAGGCACAGTTCCCGGCCTGGGGTTCGAGCCGGGAGAGGGTGCAGGTGACAGGCAGGGGAGGTGGGCGGAGGTGAGGAGAATCAGGGGACGTGTTTGGGTAGAAGTGACAGGACCTGGGAGGATGGCAGAGTCCTGGTCCTACTGAATGGCTGCTTCCAGGGAGGTGAGGACAGTCCTGGAGTCTGCAGATTTTACCTGGGCCAGGTCATTAGAGCCTCACCTGGTGATGGAGGTGCAGCAGAGCAGTCTCCCTGGGGGCAGGGATCACCTGGTTGGTCTCATCCTGTCCTTCTGTCCTACAGTGCCAGCGTGAGGCTCCCAGTCAAGTTAGGCGAGAAGCTGGAGAGATACCACTCGGCCATCCAGGTGGGTGGTGCCTGCCGGTGTGAGGGTGTGGTCCGCCCCCTTGGCTCCCCGGGCTCAGTGTCTGTGCTCTCTGTTTCCAGAGATCAGAGTCGGTCAGGTCCTCAGGCTCCTCCCGCACCGAGTTCTTCGTGGCGCCCGTGGGCGTGGCCAGCAAGCGCCACCTCTTTGAGAAGGAGCTGGCAGGACAGAGCCGGGCAGACCCCGCCTCCAGCCGGAAGGTGAGGGGCATGGCTGACGGAGCCTGAGGTCTCCCACCCAGAGCCCCGGCCCTGGCACTGCTAGAAAGCACCGTGTTTTCATGTGTCCATTGTGGCAGAAGCTGCTGTTGATCTGTTTGTGACCTGAGCCCAAGACTCCACAGGTCCCGGGGGAGGGGGCAGTGACCTCCAGGTCTATGTGGCTGTGCTGGTGGACACGGGGAGGGTCCTGTCCTGTGTCAGTGGCCCCAAGCTCTGACCGGAGCCTCCCTTTTCAGGAGAACTTGAAGCTCTCAGGGGTCGTGACCTCTAGGCTCAACCTGTGGATCAGCAGGACCCAGGAGCCGGGAGAGCAGGATCCCCAGGTACCTGGTTCCTACCTGAGGCCCCTGACCATGGGCCCTTTCAGGGTAGAATGAGGCGGGTCAGGGGGGCCCTGAGAGTGAAGGGGATAACCCAGGAGTGGGCAGGCTGTGCAGAAGCCAGTGGGTCGTGAGGCACCAGAGAGGAGGGGCGGTTCTGGGGTCCTCCCTCCAGGAAGGGGGAGGGGCTGAGGGTCCCTCTGCAGTCTGCCTTGTCCCTGACCCTCACCCTGATGCCCCCAACCAGGAGGTGCAGAAAGAGTCAACAGCCACCAAGAGAACCCAGTGGGGGAAAAAAGCAGACTTATCCCTGAATGCCGAGGTGAGGGGCAGCCCCTCTTCACTCCTGGGGGATGCCCCATGCCCACCCCACACCCACACCCACTAACTGGCCTGCAGTTGCCCACTTAGAGTGCCCAGAGTGCCCCTGGTCCTGCTCTCAGGCTGCTGTGCCCCAACCTCCAGAGCCCTGTTTGCAGCCCCAGCTGGCTGTGTCCCTGCAGCCCTGTGAGCTGCACCCCCTTCCATCCCATAAAATGGGGGTCTCTGTCCCAGTGTGGGTGCGGGGCTTGGGCAAAGGAACGCCTTCCTGTCCAGAGACCCCTTCCCCTCCCAGCCCTAGGAGCCCCCTTCCCTTGATCTAACAGACCTTTGTCCCACAGGTGTGACAGCCCTGCCAGGACATCCTGCAAGTGTTGTCTTGAGGGCCCTCCCTCTGGCCAGGCGCCACCTCCTGCAGCTGCACCCTCACCTCCCACTGCCCTGATCCCTTTCTGCCTCTGGACCCGGGGCCAGGAATGTCCGGGGAACTCCGGCAACCCCTTCCCAGCCCGCCCCAGGGGGCAGGTGTGCCCTGGCTCTGTCTTGTCCCGCTGCGTCGGCCCGGGCACCGCCCTGGCTCTTACCAGCACCCTGCGGCCTCAGCACCCTGTCCACGGTGTCTCCTGTTTCCTGCCAGGGTCAGAGTGGCTCTGTCTCTCAAGGACTCCAGGCCACCTGTTCCATCTGCTCCCAGCAGGTGTCTCCCTAGCTGAGGCCCGGTCGCCCCACCTTCCTGGGGGGCCTGCCCCCCTCCTCCGCTGGCTGAGCTCCCATGCGGAGCAGCTGTACTGCTCTCCTCCTGCCCGCTGCCCCCTCTCACTGCCCGGGGGGCCTCAGTGTTTTCTGTGGCCCTCACCGCTCTGTTCTCAGGAAAGATCCGATAAACTTGTTCACTGTCAGGTGAAAGTGATTAAGACGACCTCCAACCCATCCCTCCTGGAGGCTCCGCTTCCTAACGGGCCTCTGAGTGTGTGTCTGTGTTGGGGGTTGTGGATTATTTGGGCTGGGGGGGCGGGTAAATCAGTCACCATTTTCCTTATAGCCCCTCTTTTCCTCACATTAAGGTGGGTTGCATCCTGTTGTGCTATGTAGTAAGTCTGGGGGCAGAACTGCCAGCCCCCCTCAAACACACACACTCCCAAAATCCAGTCCGCCAGCCCCCCAACATCATGGCCCCTGTAAGCGTGGAGATGCTGGGCCATCTGAGAATCTAGGGCAAACCAGACTATGACAGACCGGTGGCCGGTCACACCCCTCAATGCTGTAATTTTAAAAATGTAGATATGGGTGCCCTGCCCCCATCT